TTTTGTTCAGATTCTTGCGGTCCTCCCAAACCTCGTTCACGAAGTCCTCCAACTCTACCAAACACTTGATGTAGAACTTAGGAGTGGCGCCGCCCTCCTCCTTGTCGATCACCCCCCGGGCCTTCTCAAACGCCTCCGCCAGGCTCTCGAAGCCCGTCAACATCTTCGCGATGTCTTTGATCTTCTTGTGGTTACGGATCTGTTTGATGATTGTCTGCAGCTCTTCGTAGCGCTTCTCGCGCGCCGTTCGCACCACTCGTTTCGCCTCTTCCTCCTCATCGCTGAACGAATAGGCGCTGCAAACACAAGACAATCACTAATGAGACCAACTGTCTTAAGACACACGCAAATCCATGGCCACAGTAGCCATGGGTCGGTACGTACGCTGTGGTGGCCGACGGCTTTGCCTGCAAATCCTCCTCCGATTCCGTGGACTCGCTCTCCGAGTCCGACACCTGCGCGAAGAACTTCCCGCTCATAATGACTGAAGATTTCAGTGATATTAGTGATAAAAAGACAATCAAATTAGTGGTTAATTATATAAATGTCTCGCAAACACGTGTTCATTAGTTATGAGACACAGTCTGAGGATTACTGTATGTATGACTCAATAGTCTTACGAGTGTTTGGTTTTAGGTTTTACTTACGTTTATGTTGTGATAAAATTGACGTTTAAATGGATTCACGACTTAATTGTGGTTTAATTGTGTGATTAAAACCAACACTCAATGTGTGAGTGTTTTTGACACGAGTCTACCACAGAAATGGTATTATAGTGCGATTTGTGTGTGGAGTTTATGCATGTATTTTGTATGCAATATGTCTACAAGTTTTGTGCGGTGTTTGTATTTATAATGTCGGCATTTGTGCTAAGGTTTCGATAGTGAATATTGCCGTAAATGTTTGGAAACTTGTCTACATTACCAAAATGTTAATGAACTCTCAACACATTGGCACTGAATTGTGTTACAAACTACTGTATACAGTAAAAACTAATTAAAACTAACTAGGTGCCTAATAAATTATAATAAAAAGTCTTTCAGTGAACAAGGTACAAGAAATAAAAATTATTATAATAATCAACCCACACTACAACTTATTGAGTTGGTTGCACAATAAAATGTTCAAAATACTTGGTGTACCCAACACCGGGAGTGGACTGTATATCCCATATTGAGTCAAATGTTTTGAAAAAGTGATTGAAATTTGATTTTCAAAACATGTTTTGATTTTTGAAAACCATTTCTTTCATACAATCAACGCATTTGTGTCCATAAAGTGACCCAAACTGATGGCTAAGTAAGTGACCCACCAATTGATCCCATTATCACCTGTACTAACCAATTGAGACTTTTTCTCGATGACCGCCGAAGACGTTACTTCGATAACTCATCCAAAATCAAACCGGGAGTCATCAGGTATGCCACCGATAGCTGATCCCGTGGTGGTTAGACATCGATCCGACCTCCGACTTCCACCACCAGTACTATCAATCATTACAAGCCATCAAACTGTGTGGTAGTCGTCGTAGTCATCGATGTCTAACTCCATTGCCTGTTATCATAAAAAGCTGATCCATTGTAACCACCAATTGATGTATAAGTAATCCATTGTCTGCTTCAATGTTACAGCGAAGAGCTCCGGGAGGCTGCGGGCATACACCGCGACAAACTGCCCATTTGGATATACCGGATGCGAGTGTTAGGCTACCCGCCCGGGTATCTAAAGCAGGCACAGGTGAGCACAC